AAAGTAATCTGAAAGCACAAAAAGGAAATGGTGAAAGGCCAAAGGGGTGGGGGATGTCTGTGGACAAAATCCGCGTGTAATTCAATTTCTGGAATAAAAAAAGCTGTGACAAAGTCTGCTCTACATGATCCGTTAAATGTGTTGGAGACTTAGATCTGGGGAAGGTTTCCGACAGCCTGTGGCCTCAGAGAGACATCGATGCAGTGTACCTCTAGATTATCTTTGTAAAGTAGGGAAGAAACAAAGAAAGATGAAAGAGAATGGAGAGAAGGGGAAGGAGATATAGATACATACGTAAACACATACATACATACAGACATACAGACATACAGACATACAGACATTCAGACATACAGACATACAGACAGACAGACAGACAGACATACAGACAGACAGACAGACAATACTGCGTCAGGGAGGGGCAATGGAATTCACAGTCCATGCTGATATCCAGGATGACCAGACATGAAACGTTTACTCTCCATAGCACAAAGTCTAGCCAGTGTTGCAGAGATCATGTGTTACCATACCACTTGATAACTCCCTTGACCTTCTCTGTTAACTCAAAATGTTACCTAAACAACCTGTTACCTACTTTGGCTTGCTGTGGTATTTGAAAAAAAGGTAACTTTATTCTGGCATGTTCATTCACACGTGTGTGTTCTGGGGCCCCTATTTGGGTGAAAAGAGCAGATGGGCACCTCAGTAAGCAGGCCGTAAAAACCGACTAATTAGTAAGTAAAGTTCCCTTTTCCAGGCCTTTAGGCGTGTTGGGTATATAGGGCTAGACTTATATATTTACAGACCAATCGTCTAATTAGTGGTTTGCTAAAATCAGATCTGTTAGGCCTTAGGACACAGATATCACAGCCCAGCTATAAACCACAACACAATGAGCGACTAGTATAATGTTGAGCGCAAAAGAAGTAAAAAAAGAAAGAAAGAAAGAAAGAAAGAAAGAAAGAAAGAAAGAAAGAAAGAAAGAAAGAAAGAAAGAAAGAAAGAAAGAAAGAAAAGAAAGAAAGAAAGAAAGAAAGAAAAACAGAAAGAAAGAAAGAAAAAAAGAAAGAAAGAAAGAAAGAAAGAAGAAAGAAAGAAAGAAAGAAAGAAAGAAAGAAAGAAAGAAAGAAAAGAACGATAGAAAGAAAGAAAAAGAAAGAAGAAGAAAGAAAGAAAGAAAGAAAGAAAGAAAGAAAGAAAGAGAAAGAAAGAAAGAAAGAAAGAAAGAAAGAAAGAAAGAAAGAAAGAAAGAAAGAAAGAAAGAAAGAAAGAAAGAAAGAAAGAAGAAAGAAAGAAAGAAGAAAGAAAGAAAGAAGAAACAAAGAAACAAAGAAACAAAGAAAAAAGAAGAAAAAAAAAGAAAACAGAAAGAAACAAAGAAAGAAAGAAACAAAGAAGAAAAGAAAGAAAGAAAGAAAGAAAGAAAGAAAGAAAGAAAGAAAGAAAGAGAAAGAAAAGAAAGAAAGAAAGAAAGAAAAGAAAGAAAGAACAGAAAAGAAAGAAAGAAAGAAAGAAAGAAAAAGAAAGAAAAGAAAGAAAGAAAGAAGAAAGAAAGAAAGAAAAAAGAAAGAAAGAAAGAAAGAAAGAAAGAAAGAAGAAAGAAAGAAAGAATGAAAGAAAAGAAGCAGTAGAAAGGAAAGGAAAGAAAGAAAAAGAAAGAAAG